GTCCCCTCCCCCCAAAAAAAAAGGGCGAAACCGGTCGTGGGCTGTAGACAGATTTTCAGCAACCTAATGAGTAGTACATTACAAAAGTGTATGAAATTCGTCAATCCAGCCGACCTAGAGGCAATATCAAAAATCCACTCAGTAAATCATTTAAACCGTGCCAGCAAGGTTACTGATAGAACGAGTTATGTTTCCGCATGTGGCCAGGTAGAATCGGGTCCACTGGCGAATCATTCGCTTACACGAAGACGCATAACACTCAAGTTTGTCATAACTCAGACCAGGTCCTAACCAGAATACACGTCAAATTCTAACGGAAACTCACAGAGTCCCGCATAATTTTCCGGGGCTCTACCCTGTCTGCTTGCTTCGGCTTCAAGGATACATATAGTTACAACGCCACACTTTCTCTGCATAGAACAAACTACCTTTCCAAAACTGGGACTATCAGTAAAGATTCACATTCAATGGTAAGACAAGAATGCCCGCAAAAACTCGACCTAAATTTGAATGAAGAATTCAGTTGCTTAAGCATTCACCGAAATCGAACAGGTTTTAATAGGTAACTGCCACAGAATAAGTGCTGCCATAAATGTACTGTGGGCAGAGAGAATATATAGGACAAAATTGCTCTTCCAACGTCGCATCAGCATAGATATCGAGTAGTGCTTAAAACTTTAAAACTGCCGTTCACTGAGGCTGACAATGTTGGACGGATTTCGAAAGATTCGGAAGCGGTGTACGCGCTACGTAGTTTATCATCCAGCGGCATAATGCGGTGCTTTAATTACATGGGTTTTCTTGTATTAGTGATGAACAATGGAATATAAAATAGTAGTATCTCAATGGAGGGGACATGTCTGTAGAGATAAGAAATTGGGTAGTGAACGGTCGTTTTTGGTCCGATTTTTGTGATTCTAGCCTGTCTTCGAAGGACTACTTCCCAGTAGATTCGTCTTCAAAAAGATTTCATTTGGGGTAAAACTCTTTTGTGCTTATCATATTTGTGTTTTGGTGCAAACGTCTTCTTTTGGTCTGATTTAATATGCACCATAATATTTCAAAACATCCGAAAATACATCAACTTCTCATGCCCCTTAAGAAATGGCCACAAATTAATTAGAAAAAATGCACTTTAGTGACTTTAACTACATAATTCCACTCTGTATCTTCGGTTACTTTTTTTCCATTGGAGCTCTGGTTTAGGTGGTACCAGAATAAGGTACTGAAGACCCAAAAATCAGCACTGCCAGACCACAGAGAATAGAATACAAGCGGAAGGGTAGTTGATCTTCGAAAATGTATCAGCACTGTTTAGTTTTTTGTCAAAGATTTGCCACAACACGCCTCTTGGTTCTACGTAAACGCTCTAAATTCACCCCCAAATGTGGAATTTATTCTATGGGTTTATTTTAACTGTTCACTTGTTATTCCGCTAACAGGATACGCGCAATCATACACGCTAGTGGTTTGTTTAAACCGCTTGCCACCAAATAGTCAAGGTTTAAATCTATCACCGGGAAGGCTGGGGGTTGAGGCTCTCCTCAGTTTCTTCCGGTGTACGCTACCGATAATTCCCAGTGAGGATGAAACGACTGTGCAGTGCTCCTATGTTTTTTAGAATAGATTGGCTTCACTTAAGGATGAATTTTCAACTGAGAGAAAAAATCGCTTCATATCAAAAACATTTTGCTTGAATATTATCGTAAAAGATAAAGGCTCTGGTACTGGCCGACTTGAAGGGTGCAATCTTCCTAATGTGACCGTGACAACTCAAAGAAACCCTCTAGTAATTAACGTTTCCAATGAATAAAATTAATTCCAAGTGAGCCGACAAACCATTTCCATTATTTTCAGAATAGAAGTAAAATTAGTGGGAACAGTGATGTATCACCACTGTTTACATTATGAGACGGAGAGATGGCTCACTGGTTCGAGCGCGAATGTACTGATCGTATGGTCTGTGGTTCGAACCCGACCTCTGCCTACTGACCTCCCCTGTCTAGGCTTAGGCAACCTGGCAGTATCCCAGGCGTCATGTTCTCTTCTAGTGGTGTGGTAATTAGGCATAGAAAGCGTGCTACAGTTGAAACGGATGTTACAAAGAAAAGAACCTGCAACTAACCATTTAGGTGATTGCGATGTCCAAATACTCATTTGTACAATTTGAACAAAAAGCGGTTGCACGTAGATGAATAATGAAGACTGACATTTATAGCTTACAAAATCTTTGGTCAAGTGCGAGAAGAGCTCTAAAATATGATAATTGATCAGGTGGCTGTTGATCTGTTCGCCGAGCTTGGCAATTGGTTTGCAAACGTTTCGTCACCATTCGAGAAGACATCTTCAGCGCACTGAAGATGTGATATTCAAGGAAACGAAAGCGTTGCGGTAAAGAACTGGGGAGCAATTAACAAACGGTTAGACCACTGAGTAGAGCGGGATGTTTGCTCTGAAGTGACAGTCAGAACTCTTAAATAACTTGACTTTGCAATTCATCTACAAAGTCCTTATTCCGTTCCCACATGGTTATTCAGATTAGTACTCACCAAAGTAAGAGAGCAATAAATATGACTTCTATTCTTACTATATGTCATCAGGAGTTAAAATTCTGGGCCCTGTTGAGATATAAATTACTAAAATCCCATGTACTGGCTCAGTTTAGCCAGTGCGATTGGAACATACCTCTTTTTGTGTCTGAAAAGGCAAACTTTCTAACGCGTTATTGATATGGTTGTCTGACCCAAGGCCCAACCTACAACCGACCCAACCCATCCTGGATGGGTTATTCTAGAACAACAGACAGAGACGAATCTAACGCTTGTTTTCCGAGAAGTAGGTTAGGCAAAATACCTGTGCCAAGACGCCAGTGAGGACTGTCACTCAGGATGATACTCTCAGCGAGTAAGAATTCAAAATGTCTCGGGGACTATAAAATGTCCACAAGTAAGAATTAAAATGTCTCGGGGACTATAAAATGTCCACACAGGTCACAGTGTACCACAGTATTGCGCGACTAACCGACAATCATCGGAAAGTTGTTTGCTTTGTATCCTTACACAACTATATGAGCAACTTCAAATGATCTGAGGCATCGAACTTCCAGAATATGTAGTGCCACTGAAGAAAGCTGTATACTTGGTGGGAGTACCAAGAAACTCCTTTGTTTGGTGGCCTCTTTCCATGGAATCACTGCGGTATCCGTAAAGTTGGTTCCAAAATCACGACTCATTTTTAATAGCTGTAATAAACCCGAGATTTAGTTTTTACAGCTTACCTTTGTCAGAACAGCATAAGTGGCCGGGTCAAAGATATAGAGTGCAGAATTTTCGGTACCGACAATTATACATTCGGCTGCATCCGGGCTGGACTGATGTCTGTACATTTTTGCCATACACGTGGCGACGGTCTTAATAAGAAGGAAGGTAGATGTAATGCACGCAAGATGAGGAGACGCAGGGTTATCTGTTCGAACTAGATAGAAATAGGATGTGTATATTGAATATCTGTAGGATATATACATACTAATATACGTACATACATACATACGTACATTCATACACGAAGACAGATGGAGAGACAGGTGGATAGATAGATAGATAGATAATAGATAGATAGATAGATAGATAGATAGATAGATAGATAGATAGATAGATAGATAGATAGATAGATAGATAGATAGATAGGATAGAAGATAGATAGATAGATAGATAGATAGATAGATAGATAGATAGATAGATAGATAGATAGATAGATAGATAGATAGATAGATAGATAGATAGATAGATAGATAGATAGATAGATAGATAGATAGATAGATAGATAGATAGATAGATAGATAGATAGATAGATAGATAGATAGATAGATAGATAGATAGATAGATAGATAGATAGATAGATAGATAGATAGATAGATAGATAGATAGATAGATAGATAGATAGATAGATAGATAGATAGATACGGAGGAGCGGATGGTTGTACAGAGAGATATACAGAGACAGGAAAGTAAGTGAACCAATGGGAGGACAACACCCAGGCAGCCTAAGTGTTATTCAGACAAAAGACTCAATACAGCCGCTTAATACTCATCAGGAATCTTTACCAATATGTAGTCTCTGTTATGACATAGCCACTTATCTGCAGCTTCACTTTTACGAGTGACGGATGGCCAAACATCAACGACCCTTATTTGCGCATGGTGATTGCACATTTTCCTGGCACTGAACCTTTACGGATATTCCTCAGTAATACTCAATGTTTCGTACACGTCACCTTGATATTTTCGAATAAAGTCCCAAAACTGAAAATTGCAGGCGCAGTTTCTACACAGAAATGTTTAGCAAGGAATGCATGAATAAACGGACATGCTGCTCAAAAACTGTCGGAGAGCTTTTCACTTTCTCCGTTATAGCTTGTTAAGATAAAGGCACAGTACTTGAAGACCCAGTGAATAGTTTGGTCAAGGTGGCCTATCATTTGTGATGAGAGTGAATTCCTTCTAGTGCATCGTATGGACCTGCCGGATCAAATTATAGTTCCTTTTTTGTCCGGGTTAAAACTTAGCTTCCTCCATTCTCCACACGCACATACGCCGAAGGAAAGGTTCAGGCGAAACGGATTAGAAAGAAAACATGATTCTATAAGTAAGCAATTTTTATTGTGAACGTTTCAGCGCTTAACGGAGTGTACGTTTATTGTTCGAACTTAGGAATACCCGTAACTCTAAATGTACCTAGTGAGTGATGAGAGAGGACCCAGTTAAGGCAGTTATGCTCCTTACGAAGAACTACTGGGATGTGATGTCTATAAGGAATTGTAATGCACGGTGACTGTAGCATTTTGCATCAGAATATAAAAAACTCAATCAGATTCACATAAGAAATTGACTGGGTAATAAGCGGCTATTCATCAAATCACGTTAGGGGGGAGGTGGATGTTGTACTCGTTTTGTGCTAAACCAATGTTGACGCATAAAAATATGCCTTTGGAAGCCCTGGGTTCATTTTTATTTTTGTGGTATATGATAGTGAAAGTAATAAAATTGCCGTTTTTTCGGGAAGCTTTAACCAACAGCTGCAGGGGAAATCATGTGTTACTATAAGCCATGAGCTCATTCCAGACCACGGCGCTTTCAGGGGTCCATGAGAGCCTGGGTTCTAGATCGCGATTTCACCTTATTAACATTTTGCCTGCCTTTCTGTGTAAAACTGAACTGATTGGTGCCAAAAACTTTGAAAGGCGTTTAAAAGCTCTCTTCCACAAGAATATGTGATATTAGCAACAAGAGCACAAACAACGCAAATATAGAAACTATCAAGTGGCTGAGACCTTGAGTCGACAGGGCAACAATCAATCTCCCAGAATGTTTTGGAATATTGGTAGCTCGGGTTTAGCAACAACAAACAACGCAAATATAGAAACTATCAAGTGGCTGAGACCTTGAGTCGACAGGGCAACAATCAATCTCCCAAAATGTTTTGTTTTGTTGGTAGCTCGGGTGTATTAGTTGGTAATTGATCAGGTGGCTGTTGATCTGTTCGCCGAGCTTGGCAATTGATTCGCAAACGTTTCGTCACCATTCGAGGAGACATCTTCAGTGCGCTGTTGGTTGGGTAGTTCCTCTCTTTGTGCCTGCGTTTATATGGTCTACAAAGAGCAGCCTTTGCGCTGTAACCTGGATTCTGATTGGCCCGTTCTTGATCTGTATTGCGTCGTGGTCGGCTTCTCTGTTGGTTTGTGGCGTGCC